AATCTCAGTCTGTTTTTGTTTTGCTTTGGGTTTTTTTTTTTTTTTTTAAAGAAAGATGGACGGGGCGGGGGGCGATGCCGGTCTGGGGGGCGCCTGCAGCCCGGAGCAGCGAGGAGACAGAGTCTGGCTGTGGGGTCCGGGGCTGCCCCTCTTAGCAAAGCCCGGCTGGAAACTGCATGGTCCCGGCTTCTGCCCAGCTGCAAAACGCTGCTGCTTCTCCTCCTCCTTCCTTCCTTCCTTCTTGCACAGTCTCTCTGCTCTTTTCCCTCCTTCTAGCCACCGCTTCTTCCCTCAAGTGCTTGAATTTTTTTCCTTTTTTTCTTCCCCTCCCTGCCCCGTCCTCTTTTCCTTTTCGGATTTTTCAAAAGGTTGTCTCGGGAGAAGTAAAACTCGCGGCTGGTTCAGCTTCCTGGGCTGCTGCTGTTGGCGGCCGCCAGAAGAGGAGCGGAGCTCTTCAGAGCCGGAGAGGGGGTGTTCAGGGGAATGTCCCGATTTCCTCCGAAGAAATCTTCCTCCTCCGGACCAAAAAAAAAAAAAAAAAAGGGAGAAAAGGAGCAAACAAAAAAGCCTCGCTGGGACAGAGGCGAGGAGCCGCTGGGCTCCCCCGCTTATTGCCTTTGGCTTCAGGAAGCGGGAGCTCGGGAAGGGGCTTGGGAAAAGTGGTCCCCCCCCCCCCCAAAAAAAAAAAAAGAAAAAAAGGCGCTCCCGAAGTGATTTCGGCGTGGAAAGAAAGTTACGGGGGTTGCTGGGGTGAGGAGGAAAGTCACAGGACTAATAATTAATAGAGAGACTTTAGCCGGTTCCTTTGGGAGGATCAGGACTTAAGAAAAGTTGAACTTTCGGATTCCCAGGGAAAAAAAAGCGGGGAGCGTAGTTGGAAAAAAAAGAAAAAACACAAAACCAAAAAACCCCAAACACAAACCACCCCAAAACAGCCCTCCTTAGGCTGATTTCTAAAATATGACCAAGTAAATTCTGGGAAAAGGCAGCCTCGGTGCAGTCCGGTCCTTTTAATTAAGTCGCTGCTGGATCCAAGTCCGTTGAGTTGAATAGGCTAACAAAAATCTTTCTTTTTTTTCCGCCCTTGATGAACAACAGCAGCAAAAAAATCATTAAAATGTCGGTTTGTTTGAGTTATTTTTCTTTCTGAAAAATCGGGTTAAAAAAAAAAAAAGGCAACCAAAATCAACAAACTTCTTTTGGGTCCCAAGAAGTTGAGGTCGGGGAAGATGAAGGAGCCGGGGAAAAAAAAAAAAAAAAAGCCACAGTTTTTTTGTCCTGAATGTGGTTTTTGGAGGCTGGGATTTCTAATGATTAGGTTTTTGTGGTTTATATATACAGGACTCTCTGGCTAAGGCGATCATTATGCTGATGAGAGTCAGCAGCACGTGGTGCTTCAGTCCTCAGACTTCTGCAGCCTTCAAAATAAATAAAACAATGTGCATCCCCCACAGGAGGAGAAACTTTGCTTTAAGTCGCTCTCACCCACGGGGAGGGGGACGGGAACGGGGAAGGGGGGGAGCAGGAGACGGTCTCCGATCTCCACTTCTCTCCGGGTTTTTTCCATTAACACTTTTGGGCTTGTTTGTTTAAAAAAAAAAAAAAAGGCATGAAAAATCTTGTTTGCAAAAAAAATAATAGTAAGAATAATCTGGTGCCAAAGGGTTTTTTTTGCTAAGACTCCGGTAGTCTAAAGCCTAAACCATTTCCTTGAATGAATGAAAGCTATAAAACCCCCTTCAGACTATTAAGGTAAAAGGAGTCTGGTTTGTTTTCTCCCTTAAAAAAAAAAAAAAAAAAAAAAAAAAAAGGGGAGATCTTATTAAAAACAATTTACATACCCAATAGTAAAAAAGTGTAAACGCCTCCCAGCGCAGATAACAACCTATCACAACCCTCCCTCTAATTTCTAAGGCTTTACTTCGACTTGCTACTTCCACCTTCTTGTAAAAAGTCGGCGCTGCGTGTGTGCTCCTTGCTCGCCGCCTGTGTGTGACTCGGGGCGGTGTGTGTCTGTCTGTCTGTCTGTCTGTCGGGGGGAGATATGTCCTTTTTACGCAGCCGTTGCAAACCCTAAATCCGGCTCCCTGACCCAGCAAGGGAAGCCGGCTCTGTCCTGCCAGCCCCTCCGCAAAAAAGCACGGCGGAGCAGCGCTGCCGCCCCACGAACACGGGACACGGGGG